ATGAAGCGCAATATTTTACGAAAACCGGGGTTTTTCCACGAAATAATAGTTAATCTTACTTTTATTTATCAATAGCAACCTAATGGTAACAGAAAACCTAAGCAAAGGCCGAGGATGACTGATATTTTGCCAGTTTAGTTTGGGCAGATCACTGAGCTTGAGTTTAATCACTGAAGAAAATTTGTTTAGGTGAGAACGATCCTCACACGGCCGCGGTCCAAAACTGAACAGAACGGATAATCGATATGCTTTAGTAGTCAGGGCTCGTTTATCATAAATTGTTGGACCAGAGTTGCTCATGAAACTCTATCGAATGCCTCTTTTCAGTGTTGTAAAGACGAAACATGGTTGCCTTTTGTTCGCCATTTTAATTCTTGGCGGCAAGTTTAAGCCCTGGCGGCAATTTTGAATTCCGGCTGACGTTGTGTGTTGCAAATTTCTTCAACAATCGCCCTACAAATCAAAGTTAATCAATCATATGTAAATGATGCTTTTTAATTTAATGATTTTATTTCCTCTCTTTTAATGTTCCGCGTGTTCTCTCTTCTACTTCAATTACAAGTGGCCTATATATCTCGACAATCAAGTTCACCATGTAATCGATATCTGTCATCTTATCGATGCTTAATATAAAGTTACATTATAGAAAGTACACACTAAAATACAATGCAAAATATAACATTATGTTCACACTTAATCGATTTAGCGTCGCTTGTGACCGGTTGTGTTTATCTTGTGCTCTGTGATTTTTGTCAATTTGTCATTAATATCTGTGATACTGGTGCCTTGCTTTGTGACTTAGTCCAACATAACCAACCGTGCTTGTGTTTTAAATCGTCTGTTTATGTTTAATTGTCTATTTTATTGTAGAAATTTTAACAAAACCTAACTCTGTTTTTAGCCTTTGCATTTTGTTATTGTAACTTCTGTACGCTGTGGTGCATTTGTTTCAATAGCTTTTGTTGTTGTTTCCCATAACTTTCTTGTAATCTCTCTCCCGTTTCTTGTCGTCTAAACTGTTGTCGTGTATATTTTGTTTGTGTTTCGCAAGCCACGCTCAGTCGACAGCCACTCTGTCGCGCTCTCTCGCTCTCGCAGTCTCTACTCGCTCTTATACTTTTGTGTTCTTGTGTGTCTACATTTTTTTTGTTTGATCCCAGTGTCAAATTAAGTGAGGTACTTATATTTCTTTTGATCATTTGGTTTTATAAATAACGTTTTTTCTTAAATTTAAATACTAAAAAATGGCTCTTTTTTGTTCCAAAAAAGATTGTCAGTTTGGATCGTCACCTAATGACGTTTTTATTTACTGTCGTCTCTGCAAAATAGTCATCCATCCAAAATGTACTGGACTTGTTGGCAGAGTAAAAGATTATATTGATCTGCGTGTTGGTTTTTCGTGGACTTGTGCCTCATGCGTTGAAATAGATCGTGATTTAGATGGCTAAGTTGCGCTGACCAATGATCGTTTTATGAAACTGTTTGATAAACTTATGAGCGTAGTTGCAGATTTTAGAGAGTTTAAGACGGACCTTGATAATAAAAAAATGTCAGTAGGGTCACCTAAGCGCAAAAAGACCGCTCATTCAAAATCTGTTCAAGTCAAGGCATCAGTTCCAAATCCCAACTTAGCTTCAAATATTTTAACCCGATCGGTAACGGCAGCTATGTCGGCATCCACTGGGGCTGGGGGACCTAAAGTTTCACTGACAGCAGTACCTATAGGTACCATAGGTTCTTCTAGTCAGCCTAAGGGTTCAAAGCCTACGCAGCTTTCTGTGCCTACAGGTGAAGTTAGCTCTATAGGAGTCAATAGTCTCGATAATCAGACGAACGATGTTCAGATTGGAACAGGAATTTCAATCTAAAAACATCACAGTGGAGGAGTTTAAGTTTCCATATGTTCGTAGGATATCTTCATTCAAAAAATTTCTGCTCCTCCGGAAGTATTTAATGTACTAAACTCTAAAAGTTTTTGGCTTAATGATGAATTGGTCATTAAAGAATTTGTTCCAAACAGACGGAGAACTAATAATAGGCCTTCCACGACAGTACTTGCGCCAAAAAACTGAGCAGTTTATTTTTGGTCTATCAAAATGTTAGAGGACTAATATGAAGTTACATAAGCTTTATGCTGACTCCTCTGCCTTTTCTGAAGACATTCTGGCCTTTACTGAGACTCCAGACTCTTCTCTGAGAGATATCAGACTCTGAAGTTCTGTCCAAAAATTTTAATACGTATAGAACTGATCGCTCTCCTCGTAGGAGGCTGGGGTGCTGGTTGCCGTTACCTCTACTTTAACATCGGAGAGAATCTACTTTCTTAATCCCAATGAAATAGATTTCGTTGGTGTTACAGATTCTTTGAAATCTTTTTCTACTTATGTAACTTGTTCTTATATTCCACATGGATCCGACTTAACAATTTATGAGCATCATTTGTCTGCAATAAAAACTGTTTTATCTCATCTTTCCGAAAGGGATCTTTTGACTGTTTTGTGTGATTTCAATCTCCCTGACATTTCTTGGTACCTTTCCACTGACTCACTTGTCTCTACCACTTTATCTGACCATGACTTCGTTGACGGTCTGTACGAATTATCATTACAGCAAGTAAGCTTTATGCGTAATTCACTTAACAGACAATTAGATCTTGTATTTGTTTTTGGTCCGTCTTAAGTCACGGTATCAAGAATTGACCCACTAGGTGTGCCAGAAGACCGGTATCATCCCACGTTAGAACTTACAATTTGTCTTCCCTGCGTTGATACCCTCACTCCTTCTCTTTCTCCAATTAAAAGTAGATGCTTTCGTAAATGTGACTTTAGTTAAGTCAACAACTGGATTTCACAATATAACTGGACAATTTTATATAATTGCTTGGATATTGAAAGTGCTACGGAACTATTTTATAGTGTCCTAAACTCTTTTTTCTGTGAATGTGTTCCTGACAGTTTTCCTCCTAAGTTAGACAGGCCACCTTGGTTTACCAATCAGTTGCAAAGACTTAGAAACCTAAAAACAAACTTCTATAAAAAGTACAAAAAGTCGGGTAGGCCATCCGATTTTTCAAGATATGTGGTGGCTCGTACTAATTTTAATGTACTTAACACTCATTGCTATTCCATGTATTTGAACCAATGTAAATTTGAATTTTCAAAGGATCCGAGGAAATTTTATAACTTTGTCAATGCTAAGCGAAAGTCTTCAGCATTGCCATCATCCGTACGATTAAACTCTATTGAGGCATCTACGGATCCCGAAATTGCAGATTTATTTGCTGAATTCTAATTCTAATTCTAGCTACCTTAATAATTTAAACAGGGCAAATTGTATTTTTTCTCCTGTAATCACCGAAAGTGATTTAGAAACCATAACGCCAACCTATTCTCCGGGGCCAGATGGAGTCCCTGGGAGTGTTCTTAAGTTGTATGCCCACACTTTTTTAAACCCACTCTTAAACTTTTTCATTTGTCTACCTCATCATCTGTTTTTCCCACAAAAAGGGGGCTGAGGTTAATGGCCAGAACTATAGAGGAATCTCCAAATTGTCTGCAATTCGTAAAACATTTGAACGAATTATTACCTCTCAGTTGCAACATTTGTGCTCCTCTTTAATATCGCCATGTCAACATGGTTTTGTTAAGCGAAGATCGACCACCACTAACCTGCTCGAATTGACATCTATTGTAATAGATGGATTTATGAAAAAAATTGCAGACAGACGTTATATATACAGATTTAAGTAAAGCCTTTGACTCTGGAAACCACTCTCTTCTTTTATTCAAGTTAGATCAGCTCGGGTTTCCGAATAATATGTTAACTTGGATTTTAAGTTATTTTAATGGTAGATCTCGGAGGATTTTATTCAAAAACGCTGTTTCAAAGATGATCTACGTGACATCTGGAGTGCCTCAGGGCAGTCATTTAGGCCCTTTGCTGTTTACTCTGTTTATAAATGATCTTCTCTCTATAGTAACTCACTCTCGTGTACTAATGTATGCTGATGATGTTAAGCTTTGTTTTTCATATAATAATATTGAGTCTGGTTTCTGCTTGCAGTCAGACATTAATAGATTTCAGGAATGGTATCAGTACAACCTTTTGAATTTAAACTATCTTAAATGCAACGTTATGACTTTTTATAGAGGTAGGCCACCGTTCATAAGTTACTCTCTTCAGAACATGTCCTTACATGGTTTGAACTGGGATCAAACGTCAGGTTGTCTTCTTACTCGAGTAGATTGCTATTAATTAATTTGCCTAGTCTAGTAAGCCGTAGAACTATACTTGGTACTATTTTTGTGAATAATCTTATCAGAGGCGATATTGATTCTGTAGATTTGTTAAGCCGCCTAACTTTCAATGTTCCTGTTAGACTTATGCGAAACTACTATCCTATCAACTACTATCTAATTTTAGTCAGCATGAGCCCTTTCGCGTTCTTTCTAATAATTATAACAACCTATATCATTTAATATGTTCCTCATCTTCAATCCCTGTATTAAAAACTAAAATCTTAGCTCATTTGCTTTAGTCTTGTTGATCTATGATTTGTCCTGTCTTTGTTTGTTCTATGTTTCTTCCTCGCGAACCGTACTTGCCCGAAATAAAAATGGGCCCGCGCGTAACAAGCACGTGCTTGGTGACGTTTGGGCCACTTGTTTGTACTGCTCTTAGTGCATCAACGTTCAACAAATATAATACTATTTTGAACGGGTGTTTCTGTCGATTAGGAGAAGCTGGACAGCTGTTTTCTGGCGACTCTGAGAAGCAGTGGACAACAGCAGTTTTAACAGCGAATGTTAGATTTCTGCTGCTAATGTTAGCAGCACGACACTACGAAGAAGACATAAGGAGAAGCTGGTCGCGTTTATAACCGAACTTTTATATTTCCTAATTTGTAAATCAAAAGTTAGCAATTAAGTCAAAGATTGAAAGTATACAAATGAATACAACTGGTGAAGTTCAACATATTTCCGAGTTTTTATTACAAAGTGTGTGAAAGACCCCCAGAGTAGACTTCTGCTCAACTTTGACGATCGGGTGCGAATCGTCACAACATTTTGGTGGCCCATGAGGGGAACATACACTCATAACTTCATCAGCTTCCAATATTTGTAAACATACTTCAATCTTTGTGCTTACTTGTTTGCAAATCTACTTTTAATTTAAACCAGCAAAGTTACGCAACCTTTGCCACGTACATCGCCATAACGGAGCCTCGAATAACGGAGGAATCAAGAAGTCGAGGAGAATAGCGGATTCAACCCATGCCTATTGCCATCTCATGCGACACACTAGTCCCGTGAAGTTTGCCGTCCCCTTCCTTCAAAGTTTAATCGCAACACGAGCGGAGCGACTGAAACAGGTGAGTGTGTTTGTGAGAGTATTTGTGCGTGGTTTTTCAAAGCAGAGTGCAATAGGAAAACATTAAAATGGGTAAAAATGAAAGTAATGGTAGTGATTTGGCACAACAGAGCTCGGCACCTTTGGCTGTGGTCGAGCCTTTTGCAGACATGTACGCAATGCAGATGGACTTATCTTCCAGGTTGACCCAACTAATTAAAAATGCTAAAAAGGACGGTCAAATAAAGAAAACCAAATCCTACTATGAGTTTCGCCTCAACAAGCTCAACGAGCTTTCAAAACAATTTTACACAAATCATCAAGCGCTCATTTTACAGCAATGTCCACGATCGCATCCATATTTTGCGGATGCTGTTGAAGACAATTTTGACCAAGCATACAGCCACATTTATTGTTCTTTCGCCGATGAATACGAAACCAAGTTTCCAGTCCCAATACAGGTATCAGGTGATCAATCCATAAACAACACCCTTGTGCCCATTCCTGTTCCCACAATTCAGCTGCCCAAATTGCCCGTACCCCACTTTTCAGGAAATTTTGCGGATTGGCCATCTTTTTATGACAGCTTTACGCAGCTAATACATGAAAATCAATCTCTTTCAAACATTCAAAAATGTCATTTCTTGAAGCAAGCAATACCGCACGGACGAGACCAGGATATAAACCATATGGCATTAACAGAAACCAACTATTCAGTGGCATGGAACCTTGTGGTAAAACGGTACAACAACCGAAACTGCTCGCAATGTGGTCAACGGCACCACACTTTGTTACATTTCCCGAATGCTCAACAAAGTCCTTCATTGACTCCTGGAGTATCCCGACAGCATACTTCAGACTCTGGTCGGAGCGCAGGCGCAATACAAAATGCACCATCAACGCAACTTTTCAGCGCAGTTGCCTCCCATCTGAACTCAACGACCCTTCTTGCTACTGCACTGGTTCGGATCGTAAATAACTCCACTGGGCAGTCAGCTTTAGTTCGAGCTTTCATCGACCATGGCTCGGAAGGCACCCTCATCACGGAAAACATCGTTCAAGCGCTTAGACTCAAACGGCATCCTGTTCGAGCTGAGATCACGGAAATTGGTAATACGTCGCATAATCAGTGCAGGCACAGCACCGACTTCACCATAATCTCATGTTCAGGATCGGATTTTAATGCCTACGTATCCTCAGCCTTCATCCTTCGGTCACTAACAGGTAAATGCCAAAACAAAATGTAAACATTAAGTCCTGTAAACATCTCCAAGGGTTATCCTTTGCAGATCCTAATTTCATCAAGTCGGGTCGCATTGACCTACTTATCGGTGTCGACATTATCCCGCAATTAATGCTTCCGGACATACGCAAAGGGACGGTTGCAGAACCAATTGCACAAAACACACAACTGGGCTGGATAGTTTTTGGACCAGCTGAAGCAGCCCAGACGACATCAATCTCCATTCGTTGTAACTTGGCAAACCTAAACAACATGGTACAGAGGTTTTTCGAATTGGATCAGGTCTCCACAACACGACAACTCAACGCAGAGGAAAAATGGTGTGAAGACCATTTTCAACAAACTCATATCCGTCAGCCGAATGGGAAATATCTAGTTCGTTTGCCTTTAAAAACGTTGTTTGACCCCACACAGGTGATCGGCCGGTCAAGGCAAATCGCATTAAACCGTTTCCACGCTCTGGAAAGGAAACTTAATCATCGGCCAGATTTCAGTCAACAGTATGCCAGCACTATTCAAGAGTACTTTGATCTAAAGCAGATAAAAGAGGTAAAAGGTAGTGAGGAAGAACACACTAGGATCAACGCTCAAAGGCAACTCTCAATCTCTGCGTGCACCGTTCCACATCATGCGGTGATCAAAGACGACAGTTTAACTACAAGGATGCGCGTCGTATACGACGCTTCGTGCAAAACGTCTAACGGGAGGTCTTTGAATGATATTTTATGCACTGGTCCCGCCCTACAAAACGATCTTGGAGGAGTTATACTCAACTGGCGTCTCCATCGGTATGTCTTCGTGGCCGATATAACGAAAATGTATCGCTGCATAGATATGCATGAAGAAGATGCCCAGTATCAGCGAATTTTCTGGCGCGATGAAAAGGGACTCATCAAGGAATATTTTTTGACTACAGTAACGTTTGGCACTGCCTCGGCACCCTTCACGGCGATTCGAGTCATACATCAGAATGCGTCCGACGAGCGCGAACGCTATCCTCTGGCCGGGCATGTCCTTAAAAAAGAAATCTATGTGGACGATGTTCAAACAGGACACGAGACCATCGACGGAGCTCTAAAAATTCGCAATGATGTCATCGCAGCTCTGCAATCAGCAGGCATGGAGCTCAAGAAGTGGGCATCCAACCATCCAGATATCTTAGAAAGCATCCCAACTACAGATCTCTCTAACAGTAGCATTTTTAAGATAAACAATAAGGACTCCATTAAAACTTTAGGGTTGTATTGGCATCCAAACAAAGATGGTTTTGGTTTTAATCTTAAGTTTTCTCTCAATCCTATATTCACCAAACGTTCTATACTATCCACAGTAGCACGCTTATTCGATCCGTTGGGATACCTGGCACCAGTGATCATCGCTGCGAAAATCCTGTTGAAGGAAGTTTGGAGTTTTCGTATCGAGCGCAAGGATGAGCCCCCCGCATCATTAGATTGGGACGACCCATTGCCAGATCAACTCGCCGAGCGGTGGCGACAGCTCATTCAAGAGCTCCCCGACATTGAAGAGATACACATCCCTCGGTGGTTAGGCCTCGATTTAAGGCATGTCTCGACGTTGCAACTACACATGTTTTGTGATGGATCATCCATGGCGTATGCAGCATGCGCTTATCTTCGAGCTAGTTGTACGGATGGTTCCGTGCAGGTTAACTTATTAGCCGCCCGCAGTCGAGTCACACCTGTTAAGCCGCTAACAATTCCGAGAGTGGAGTTATCCGGAGCCCTGCTGTGTACACAATTAGCCGATTGGATTGTCAATCAACTTCAAGCATCACATCACACCATATCCGTACACTACTGGTCGGATGCAATGATAGTGCTGTATTGGATGAGCGGTGACCCTAGGCGTTGGAAGACATTTGTGTCGAATAGAATTGGAGCAATCCTGGAGGCAAGCTCGCCATCGCAGTGGAGACATGTTCTTACGCAAGAAAACCCAGCAGATTGTGCTACACGCGGACTCACCCCTTCCCAGCTGAAACACCACACGCTTTGGTGGAACGGACCACATTGGCTGCATCTTTCAGAGGAGCATTGGCCAGTCAATCCAGTTCAGTCCCCAAAATCAGAACTTATTTCAGGAGAGCAATCCTTAAAGCACATCGGAGCCCACATTTGTATAGAAGTGCAACCATTTATCGAATCATATTCCTCCTATAATAACCTCTTATTCGTTACAGCCTACGTCAAACGATTCATTTATAATACTCGTCACAAAAAAGCGGATAGACTCACCGGCCCTATTCAGGTATCTGAATTTCAACAGGCTTTGTTCGCACTGGTGCGGATGGTTCAACAAGAAGTCTATTCGGAAGAATTATCAAGACTATGATCCAACAAATTTCTATCCAAACACAACAAACTCAGCCAGCTATCACCGTTTCTCGACGATGAGGGGCTCATGAGAGTTAAAGGCAGACTTAAGAATGCTTTGCAGCTCTCCATGTCTCAACGCACACCAATAATCCTTCCAAAGGCCCACCACCTGACGATTTTGGTGATAAGGAACGCTCATCACAACACCTTACATGGCGGTGTGCAACTAACTTTATCTACAATTCATCAAGTTTTCTGGATCGTCAACGGTAAACAGGCAGTAAAAAGGATTCTGCGACAGTGCGTAACCTGTTTCAAACACCGGCCGTCACCATCAAGCCAACTGATGGGAGATTTACCAGCGCACCGTGTCAATCCGCCCAAACGGGCGTTCGAAGCAACTGGAGTTGATTACACTGGTGCGATTGAGATAAAGTCATCCAGATTCAGAGGTCACACTTGCTATCAAGCATACATTGCAGTATTTATTTGCTTAGCGAGCAAAGCGATTCATTTGGAAGCAGTCACGGGAATGTCGGCACAGCATTTTCTGTGGGCGCTGCAGCGCTTTATCGGACGTAGGGGTTTTTGTCAACATCTATACAGCGATTGTGGAACCAACTTTATCTCATCCGACAAGTCTCTAAAGCTGTGGACCAATGAATTCTATAAAGGAATTGAAGAGACAGTAGTTCCTGAACTTACTCGTCGAAACATTCAGTGGCATTTTAATCCTCCACATAGTCCAAACTTTGGAGGACTCTGGGAATCCAACGTAAAAGCTGTTAAAACCCATCTTTATCGATCGTTTAATGGGATTCGAATGACGTACGAGCAGCTGTCTACCATTCTTGTCCAGATATAAGCGTGCTTGAACTCTCGGCCATTATGCCCCTTAACGTCTGACTTAGATGATTTGCAAGCTCTCACCCCTGCACATTTTTTAATCGGGGACTCGATGATGTCACTTCCTGAGCCTAGTCTTAAGGATTCTTCATTAAACACAGAGTTCCTGAATGGTCAAAGGATGTTTCGCCTCTTTTGGAGAAAATGGAGTGCAGATTGGCTATCTCATCTGCAGGCGCGCCCCAAGTGGCGCCACGAAACTGACAATCTTCAGCGCAACGACATGATCATCATCAAGGATGATCGAACTGGTCCTTCTGACTGGAAATTAGGGCGAATCATCGACTTACATCCTGGGGCCGATGGGCTCGTTCGAGTAGCTACAATTAAGACCTCAACGGGTATTTACAAGAGGTCTGTGTCAAAGATTTGTCGTTTGCCCTTGCCAAGATTTACTGAAGAGTCTAGCCCAAGTACACAACCCATGCACCTTTGAATATACCCGCATTCACTCCATAACACACTTCAACCTTTTCAGAGTTTAAGCATGGTCTAAGGCTTTGAATACTGGGTCCAGTATTGGGGGCGGCATGAACGGGTGTTTCTGTCGATTAGGAGAAGCTGGACAGCTGTTTTCTGGCGACTCAGAGAAGCAGTGGACAACAGCAGTTTTAACAGCGAATGTTAGATTTCTGCTGCTAATGTTAGCAGCACGACACTACGAAGAAGACATAAGGAGAAGCTGGTCGCGTTTATAACCGAACTTTTATATTTCCTAATTTGTAAATCAAAAGTTAGCAATTAAGTCAAAGATTGAAAGTATACAAATGAATACAACTGGTGAGGTTCAACAAATTTCTGAGTTTTTATTACAAAGTGTGTGAAAGACCCCCAGAGTAGACTTCTGCTCAACTTTGACGATCGGGTGCGAATCGTCACAACATATTTAGTATATGTTCAGGCCCACTGTCCGGCGAATCTGGACTGGCCCCGCTATCCAGCTGCACCAGCTGCACCGCTCTACCGCTCTCCCGCGCTCCCGCTCTCCTGCGCTGTTCCTAGCTCCCTCCATGAAGTCTCCGCTGCGCTTTGGAGCGCAGAGCGGAGCTTAGACTAAGTTAGTTCGATTTCTGGAGTTCAACTAAATAAACCGCGGTCGTACCCCCACCTACTTTCCAAGTTAACTTTGTGCGTACTTCTTTTCGATCAAGGGGCAAATACGCGTTCGAGTGGTTTCTCCCCTACAGCTTCCGCAGCACCAGCAGCAAAACGCACAAGCAGCAAGCCACCGAAAGCCAGCGAAGCAGCCCGCCGACGCCGCCAGTTTTTCCCGCCGTCGCCTCCCACGCCATTCCACCAGCGCCACCACGGTACCCCGCTACCCCCCGGCGTACATTTTTATCCATTCGAGCCGATAAGATAAGTAAAGCTTTTCGTCTTATTAATTGCCGGTCTGCAGTCAGCCACTCGAAAATATAATTCGTTTGACTTTCTGTACGATTTGTCCAAAATCCTAGTCCGATTAAATCCGACAACGGCAATTAAAAATTACTTCGCCACTTTTTTCTTCGATTTTCCTTTTGCTACGTGCGGCCATAGTGCCAATTTTTTCCGACTCCTTTTTTTAATTGCATTTGGCCGCTCATCCATATTTACATACACATATACAAAATCGAGAAAAAATTCCAAGCTTAGAAAAAATATTGTGCAAATATAAGCCAAGCATACAGTGAGAATTATTAAATTTCTATGTTCTGCCAATTCAGGCCCCCAAAACTTTTCAAGATTTTTCACTCTGTATATCCGCAGCCGCTAAAATACTTGCACATATTTTTTCGTTTTTCCAAATACAGTCCACACACAATAAATCGAAAACTTCCACAACAACACATACCCCGCCGGCAATAATTATTTAATAAATTTAAAAACGGCGAAAATTACATACATGCAAATATCTACATACATACAAATATCTACATCTATACAAATATCTACATCCATACAAATATCTACATACCATACAAATATCTACATATATACAAATATCTACATCCATACAAATATCTACATCCATACAAATATCTACATATATACAAATATCTACATATATACACATATCTACATACAGTCACATATAATTTTTTAGCTCCACCATCCCGTTCCGACTAATTAAAGTTTTCCGTCGGCCATCCGGTAAAAAATAATAAAATAAAAAATTACACCAACCGACGTGAAAATGTTTTGGTCATTGTGTTTTATTTACCATCAAACTTTTTAGTATTTTTTTGGTATTTACTCCGTAAAATTTATTTTATTTAAACGGGAAAAATACCAGCACTCCACTGCATGCATAGCATCCTCCGTCCACCAATTTTTTTGTATATATTTTTAGTATTTTTCCCTCGGAATGTTAAATCAAATTAAAGCAATACTCCAATATTAAATAATCAACCGATCGCATCCTCCGGCCAACAAATTTTGGTATTTTTTCTTCATTCAGAAGTTTAAATAAAGGCGAAAATATTACAATTACTCCACCGGGGACTATATATATACACATAGTTGGTATTTTTCCCCCTCAATTTATCCAAACGCAAAAAATACCAGCAAAAATATACCAAACTTGATCCCAACCATAATACATAACCAAAAGGGTTAAATATTATAGTATTACTTCTCAACGGGTGATATTCGAACTCATCACTCACTGTTCCTAATCCGTATTATTGGGTTTAATTCCGCAAAGTAACCAGGTCGGTACTTGCTTCCAATTTTTATTTCTCCGATCCACTACTTTTTTTTGTCGACACCTCGTTCCACTGTTCCAGAAGTGGGCCAGGTTTCCTATTTATCCGACATAAACAAAGGCGAACAGATTCAGACCCGAATAAAGGTCATTTCTCTTTAAATGTCCGCTGGAATTGATAACAACAAGTTGTCTATTCCACCTGCCGTAGTCCCAGGCATATCCGTAGATCCGCCCACACCCGAACTAACTGCCAAGACCTCGTCGCCCCGAAAAAGGGTCACCCGTGCAAACGTCAAAATGGCACTAACACCTTCCAGATCGCTCTAAGCAAATTTACTGAGGTCTCAGATCGGCTGAGTGAGTTTGAATCCAGAGCAAACACTCCTTCGCCGATCCCTCCTACTCTTTCCATGCTGAACATCCGCCGCGAAGAAATACGCGCGTTATGGGACCGCATCAGGGCAGAATACGATGAATGCACCGGGTGCATAGCAGAAGCCGGAGACAGTGCAGCTGATAGTTTGCCAGTTCTCAAGGCTAAATACGGCTACTGCTATTCCGTTTACGAGAGATGTGGGGCTCAGATCGCGGATATGATAGCCCAGGCTCCCCAAGTTCAAGCTGTTCCTACCCAGACTTACATTCCCTCTGGATGTCGGCTGCCTCCGTGCGATACCGAGGTTTTCACCGGAGATTATCTGCGGTGGCCGACCTTTAGGGATCTGTTTACGGCCATTTACATAAACAATCCAAGGCTGACGCCAGTCGAAAAATTGTTTCACCTAAATGCCAAAACAAGCGGCGATGCACACACGATAGTGTCAAACTCCCCCCTTACTAACGACAGCTTTCGCTCAGCTTGGGCTAACCTAACTGAGCGTTTCGAAAACAAGCGGTTGTTAGTAAATAGCCAATTGAAAATACTTTTCAATGTGCAGTCCGTTAATCAGGAATCTGGGTCAGCTATCCGTGAACTTCAACGTACCATCCAGGGTTGCCTTACGGCTTTAGAAATGTCCGGAATTGAAACCGAAAATTGGGATTGCCTCCTAGTGTACATGTGCTCCTCCAAACTTCCTAAGCTCACGCTATCCTTGTGGGAACAGTCCCTGCACAATAAGGCAGAGATTCCGACGTGGCAGGAACTGAACGCCTTCCTTAGAAGCCATAGACGACGTACGGCCGTCAGGCTCGAGTCAATCTCTGCCAAAAACATCCGCCCCCACTGCAGCGCCTCGAAGAATAAATTCTTACGAGACAAGGGTAGCACCCAAGCCAAAAGGATGTGACCTTTGTAAGAAGGAAAACCATCCTGTCCGCACATATGCACGGTTCCTCCAGATGACGGTCGACGAGCGTTCGACATACATAAAGAGGAAGCAGCTGTGTCTAAACTGCTTCTCACGAGGGCATCAGCTGCGTGATTGTGAGAGCACTCATAGTTGCTTTACGTGCCGCGGCCGCCATCACACCTTACTACACAGAGGCGACTCCTCCCAATCGCCTTCGAATCCCGCCCCAAGACCCAGATCAAGACCAAGTACACCAGTTGCCACCGCTCCCCGGTCCACGGACTCTACAGTACAAAATTACTTTGCGACGGGGTATAGATCCGTCTTGCTGGGCACCGCCATAATTGACATATGTCACCTGGGGTCGAATTTTAAAGCTTGTGCCTTGATAGATTCAGGATCAGAGGCAACCTTTATTTCTGAGCGGCTGTTCAAACTAATTAAGTTGCCTCACCAGGTAATCCGAGCCCAAGTATCAGGCTTAAACCAGACAGTATCCGCTGAATCCAAAAAGCTCTGTCAGTTTACCATCCGTTCTCCGACCAGGCCTGGCTTGCAAATAAACACGACGGCCTATGTTCTTCCTCAATTAGCTGGAAACCTTCCATCTTGTCCGATTCCGCAACAGTTTCTACGGGATCTTCCCGAACTGTCACTAGCGGATCCAAAGTTCTACGAGAGTGCACAGATAGATATTCTGGTCGGGGCCGACATACTGCCATCCATTCTCCTAAGCGGCACCCGGCCGAATATTTGTGGCTTGGTTTTCGTTTGTTTTTCTACAAAGGCCATCCATCTAGAGCCTACATCCGACTTAACGACTGAAAAGTTTCTTGCCGCTTTCGCTCGTTTCGTCTCTAGAAGAGGGTGTCCTCGCCAAGTCCAATCCGACAATGGAAAGACCTTCGTCGGCGCCTCCACCGTGCTTTCCCGAGACTTCCTGCAAGCCGTTAAGGAGTCTGTGACCGATGCGTATAGTCATCAGCAGCTCACCTGGCAATTCATTCCTCCTGGGGCACCCCATGTGGGAGGCCTATGGGAAGCTGGTGTCAAGAGCTTCAAGACCTTGTTTTACAAGTCCACCGCTACGCGGAAGTACACCTTTGAAGAGCTGTCCACCCTCCTAGCGAGAATCGAAGCTTGTCTGAATTCCAGACCGCTATCTCCCATGTCCGAGGATCCAACTGATCTCTTACCGTTGACACCAGGGCACTTTCTTGTTGGTGGACCTCTTCTATCCATAGTGGAACCTGAAGTAAAGGGCGAATCCAAGTCCATTCTGAACCGGTGGCAGCACTTAAAGTCTCTCCATCAACAATTCCGCACTCGATGGAAGGATGAGTACCTTAAGGAGATCCACAAGCGCAACAAGTGGCAAGTCCCCACAGAAAATCTGCGTGTTGGCGATCTGGTCGTCATTAAGGATGAAGAATAGACTCCGTTTTTCCGGGAGCCGATGGCAATGTCCGCTAAGTCGGCATTCGTACGACACGCGGCATTGTCAAACGTCCAGTGACCAAGGTGGTTCTTCTTCCAAGAGAGCCGCCCAAAACTACCTCGTAATGAGCCGCGTTTCTTACACACCTTAGCCCGTAGCCATTATCCAAGTCAGTGTTAATCAGCCCTGTTTGTTTGTTCCTTATCCACAC